TTTGCATGGTCATGTTCTGGTATATATAGTTCTCAGTTCTTTTTGGCAGACAAGAACCCGCGGAAATAAGATTGATTCGAATAAATGCACGTGCAAATGTTACAATTGGTCTTTAAGGAATTATCGCATAATGAACACCCACTACAGATATCAAATGTTTGAATAAAATGGCTGACTTATTCCATGGCAGTTAACGTGTTATTTCTGTAATGAGTCATACATTTTTCGCGCCTCTCCGATGCTCGTTGGGATCGATTGTTGAATTTCTTGCTTCTTACGCCGCATCAGTGATTTTATGAAGAAATATCAAGTGTAATGAAATCCAGCACAAATGTAACAATTGGTCTTTGATCAACACTGTTGAAAAAATGATTGCGTGTCTCTCTCCCTAATTAGCTCGCATGTGTGGATTGTGGGGCCCGCAGTGAATGCTATCAAATTTTTGACTGAAATGTTTGATTTAGTGAATGCCGTTTACCCCTTTCTGTACGTTTTTCTGGAGATCACATATGTCCATTTGTGGGACCTCAAATTTTTCAGCCTGATGAGTGACTATTTTATATTAGGTGACAGATTGTTGAGTGCAATAAATCTCTAATCGGTAGTCCATGGACTGTTGTTGGTCCACAGAAGTTTTTCAGCATAATAAATAAATTAAAAGTAGCATTGAAGGACGTTGTAGTGCGTGTATCTGAAATTGCAGAGAGACAATATCAGTTGAAATTATCTCATGTAAAATAAATGCTGGCTTTTCTCCCACAACAACACTTCACTTCAGATAAATTTTCACCTGATGACATAAATTAATTTAATTTTCCATTCTGAGAAACCTTTCTTGAAGCCCACCTTTCTACTTTTTTTTAGACATTCCATACAGCTGCTTCTTCGGTTCTTGAATTAATTTTTCAAAAACTGAAACTTTTTTCATACATGCTCTGAATTGGTTAACGAGTTAAAGTGCTCTTTCAAGCAAATCTTGTTTGAGTCTGTAAACATTTTATGAAACTTTGCCAGTCCACAGAATTCCTTTTGTGAAAAATTGCCAATCTGTGAAACTTTTTATGAAAATTTGCAGGTCTGCAAGCCCAGAAACCTTGGAGATCACTGCAATAAATGCTTGCTGTCAAAATGTAATGCTTAGCTTCTGCGTACCCTCATAAATGGTCGCGAAGATGGAACCTCGGCTGCGTCGACGCCGCTGTCGGTCACTCCGATCTCCAGAAATCAGAGGTTGCAGCACCGCTCCGACCACCTTTTCCCCAAGTACCCGGCGGAGGTCAAGCCAGAAGTCAGCCTTCGGGTAGCAGACGATTAAATCCTTCAGCCGCTAATGAGTGCTCGGAAGCTGGGAGCAACTGCAAAGGGAAGAAGGCGAGGAGTAGGACACGGTGGAGGAGAGCGTGCGCAGCAGCGGGGCCGTAGTCCCGCGCGTGCAAGGCGCCCGAACGACTTAGTCTCTCGACACCCGGGCGACTATAAGTCGGCTTTGCGCCGGCGCGGGGGAGAGCAATGAAAAAAAAAAAGTTTTTTAGAGGGTGGCAAAGAGCGGAGTTGACGAGTTGCGAAATCGCCTGGAGTGGAGCGGGGAACCGCTTGTCGAGTGTCTCGTCGTCGTCAGTCGGGTCGCGTCCGAGAAAGTGTTACTTAACTTACCAGCAGCGGCTTTGAGCCGTGAACCCGGATTCTGACCGCATTGCTTGACCTCTGGTCCGGTCCCGAAATCCGATGAGCCTCGAATACCTACTTCACTTCTTCATTCGCCCACGGGAAAGTCTGAGTAAACAAATTTTCACCGAAAGGTTCCCTCTTATTCGCCAAAGATTTGAGCGCCTCGAGAAAGAGTTACTTCCTCAACCATGGCAAAAAATAACCTGAAAATTCTCCTATAAAGGAGCAAGCGAGTAAACTTTCAGAAAGAGTCCAAAATATCCCCGAAAATAATTTTGGGGAGCTATAAGGAATATTTTAAGGAAGAAAAATTTCTGATAAACCTGGATCCCTTCATTAGATTGACAAATGTAAAAAAATTATTGAGGCCAAAATTAACTCAAAATCTTGATGAATCAATAGCTAGGATAGAACCCGATACTACCGTGCCCATCTGACTAAAGATGAAGTGTCAAGTGGTCAATATATGGGATACCATTTTACCTTTCTTTTAATTATCCATTCTATTTCGGTCGTCTCATCGCCGCACCCGCGTTGGAATGCGTGGTTTATGTTTATCCCAGCTCTGAACTATTCCTAGCAGATACAATAATTTAAAACTTTTTTCGAGGTAAATTTCGAGACACGTGGTGTTTACAGTACCCGTGGCTCCAACTCAAATTAAGGACACATTTGATGCAACGAAATTTCTCGCAATGTGACGCACAAAGCAGATGTTCACTTATTATTGGGGTCCATGAACTATGAGTCAATTGCGTGGAGTGAAGTCCTCGAACTTCTGGCTTGTTTGTTTTCCAAATCGTTCGAAATGAACATACTATTCTCATCCACCGCTTTTTTGCACAAAATTGAATGATAATTTGAATGATTACATTTGCGCCAAGAAAATTTTACCACTGACTGCTTCCCAGGTACCACCAGCCTTACGCATGTCAATTTCACCACTTGAAAAGCCCTGCTCAACAGTTCAAAAATTCTTCGGCAAATACTCGTAAAATTGCCGAGAAGTACATTAGTGGCTTTCTTTTTCCATATTCCGATGCACCGTACTCATTAACAATTATGAAGATAATTTCCATTTATTGCCTTTGGATTTAATTAAATTTGACAGACTTCTTGGTCGCCTCATTGCCACATTTAAATGTGTGAACCATGTTTCGGCCGCTTCTAATCCCGATAGTTCTTCAACCGATTCGAGTAAAACCGCGTGAGAAGTTTTGGTTTTCTTTCTAAACAGCGATTTACTCATTTCATGATAATTTCACCTTCCATTTCCCTTTTCTTTGAATGTTAAATCAAATTCCCCAAGGCTTCTTGGCTGTTCGATTACCACGTTCGAGTACATGTGGTTCATATTATCCATCTTCAAGCTCATTTCCAAAACCCATCAACATATATTCCTCAGAATAAGTTGCAGTTGAACCTCTCTAAGCCTAATTTGAAAAATTGTGAGTGGGTTAGGAGCGTGTCCTGACTGTTCCAAGTAAATCAAGGCAATCCATTTCATGTCCTAAAAATTGAAAGCGTTCATTTTTCTCATATTACCTACCTTCAGGAAGTTGTCTATAATCCCTAATTGTGGAAAGCATTGAGACAATCGCTGGAATTTTTCTCGTTTTCCTGGAACAGGCGCTCTTACTTCAGTAATTCAAAGGTTCTATATAGAAGATTCGAATAAGGGCGGTTTGAGCAACAATGAAAAAAATAGTCAGGGAGGTTTACTATGCATTAGCTTTGAGGTAATTGGCCCGGAATTCGATTAAAATTCAAATCAGGGAGATTTTCAATTGTTTTGAGGTTAGAATGCATTAGAATTGGTTTTCCACCGCATTAATGTGTAGTACAGTATTTTACATGGACATCTACACTTTGGCATTCACATATGTACATTGGTGAATTACATCGCGGCGGAAGACAGTGACATTCCTTCTTCCCCGGAAGTTATTCGTACGTAAAGAATGCATGAACCCTTCGAACTGTTCTTATGAATCAGACGTTGGCTCTTGAAGCCTATTATTTTAGATACTACAGAAAAATCTCGTTACAAAAAGCTGTTGGGACCGGGAAAGCAGCTTCGTTAACGAGAAATTTGTCATAAAGCGGTTTGAATAAAATTATTGCTATATTGGGCAGGGACCTGAAAAACGACTTCGTTGTAAACAACAATTCGTTATAACGAGATTCGTCGTAACAAGATTCTACTGCACATTGCTGGAAATGTCGTCTCGCATACCGGGATTATCTTAGTTCATGATCTTATTTTGAGTTCAAATGTGGGCGAAGACAGAAAAATGTAGAACCTCATTCCAGCTGAAATAGAGTATGTTTAAGGGAGCTAACTGACTAATGAATACGTACCGAACTCCCTCCTGAAACCTGAAGATCGAGTTGTTCAATCATACGTGCATCCTAAGAGTTATTTGAAAATCTGCACTGCTCATTGTGCAGAAAATATTCATGAGTCATAAACGACGCATCCAAAAAAGTTAGCATCTCGTTTTTCGTCTTCGTGTTCAATTTTCTTTTCTCGGTTCATGTAATCCGTTTTCCAGCGAAACTTCTGCTTCAAGAGCTTGCTTCGCGTCAAGTTTGAGGCTTGAATTCCTCGTGGTATAGGCTATTACACAAGCTAGAAAAAAAGGTCTTGCTTAAATAGCCATGCTGGAGCTCTCAAGGCATAGTAGTGGAGTCCATGGAAGTAAATAAATACCACGTTCCGTATAGTGTGACTCGTATGACGAATGCATGTATGCGGAATAATCTTCTTCCGGTACTAAATTGCGTGGGCGTGTGAGAGACGTTTTCGTTAGTTTTATTGCTCGTAAAATTGGATTTACGTTTGTTGATCTAAATCGGATGTTTTATCCGAAAACACAGAATAAATCACATTTTTATTGCAACTGTCTCAACGTTCGCTGAACAGAAGGCAGCATTATCAGGAATTTTCTTCAGTTAGGATATCAGATGCGAGAAAAATTACGGAATTTCCTGGGAAGGACATAAACCGAACAGCTCAGTGAAAAATCCTGCGGGGGAAATTTGTTTTTCTTCTTTCCCGCTTTCCTCTCATGGGAAATAACAACCCAATCTTTCATACGCACTCTAGCTCGCTCCTGGAAAACGCAGGAACACTTCCTCACTCGACACACGTCATCGAAAAAAGGACGTCAATTACTTGTTCGGCATGTCGGGGATTTACTAGTTAATTGCTCTGCCTGTCAAATCATGCCGAAAATGCCGGAGTGGAAATTTTGATCACGACGCTGTTCGCGTTAGACTCCGGCGCGCGTTAAAAAAGCTTCAGACCCGAAACTGCCAGCGAACGAAGTCAAATGACGCAGTGGTTTCCGAGCGCGTTTTCACTAGTCGTGTCGAGGCTGTCACCATCTTTGACGAGAGACAATCGACACGCCCGCGACTCGTCACTCGAACCGTTTTTCTTCATCAGAGAGTTTCCGCGCAGCACACTATCGAATCTTGAAAAGCATAGTTCGAATTCTTTCAATAATATCCGACTCATCGCACTTGAACGCCCTGAAAGCGAAGCATTACATGCACGAGTACATAGTTAAGAGACCCACAAATAACAGTTTTCCGTACAATTTTATCAGATATAGCATATTTCGCGTCATGCAGTGGATCAGCCGAACGCTGTCGAAGAAGACACGTTGGCCCGCATTGTTTTCCGTGGAATTTCGCGCAGCGCAGACGCGCACGTACTAGGGAACACTTGACGCATTCTTCTGGTTTTCATTCCGGCAGATAAGGGATCAGTTGAAGAAACATGAATACGGTCAATGAATGCGAAACAGGTAAAACTGTTAATAATTGATAAACAGTTTCCCCGCTCCCGTTGACGTGATTTGACGCAGGAACGCGCGGGAAACGATAAACTGAAACTGATCTGCGTTCGGGGGTGGGAAAGGCGTGAGAGAAAAGTGATTTCTCGGCATATTTTTGAGGAGAGAATGAAAACAACATGACCTTTGTTTGTCCCCTTCTTTCGAAGGCGGGAACCCGTGATCCAGGCAGTGACTGATATTTGCGGCATGAGTGACGCGCAGAAAACTTGCATCCCGCCGAACGCGCTGTCGACAGATGTAACCCACTCGGCTTTGGATTTCCAGGATGAACGTCGTGAGTATTTCAGTACTTGCTGGATTGTTTTAGTACGCTTTTTCCCACCATTAAATGGTTCTACAATTTTTAGTGGTTTAAAGTTCGATCACTTTTAAAATATTATCTGATTATTTTCCCACGCTGCTGGCACGAGTTTTGTACCCGAGATCCCCATAACCCTGAGTATTTTTCGTAAACTTCATTGATTTAAATTTTTTGAACTTACTTTCAGCCAGAAACAACGAGGGTCTGCGAAAAATGGGAAAGAATTCGTTTCTCCTTAGTTCAAATTATAAAGATTGCGTTATACAGTACCTTACAAAATCTTTTCCTTTTTGTAGCCAAGAGAAAAGCATTTTCAAAATTATTATACGTGATATGCTGTATACGGGGAACCGCCGAAAGAACTTGATTCATAAATCAATCGAGGAACTGTACTGATGAATTGATGTAAAAGGGCTCTTTTTTGGGCCAACAATGTAACGTTGAAAATATTTTCATGAATAAAACTGCGTCAAAAATCGCTGGGATTTTTCAGAATGTAGAAGGATTTTCACGCCATTAAAAATCTGAGACCATCGTCAAAATCCTTCCCCTGAATCACTAGTGGTGGAAAAGGGCTGACAATCGACACATGTGAGCTAAGAAGAAAACGAGCAAAAGCTGAATGGTAAACTAAGTTCTGGAGACTGTTCCGTAACTTGGCTGATGGAAAACAGACGTCAAATTGATCGTCGTTCAGTCATCTTTCCGATTAGGATTATCCTTCTGGTTTTAAAAGCTTTTAATGATCACGCACTGCTACTGCTGGATTTTGAAAAAAAAATAGTCGTGGAAAATTTCCATGAACAATACAGTAATTCTTCATCTTCACTTCGGATGCCGTTATTTCGTTGATAATTTGAGAAGAACATACTTCACCTATTATTATAATGATTAGTTATGTAAGCAACGAATCCTTGAGAGCATCTTGCATTTATTTTCTTCGCGTTGAATTACGCAATTGAACAACTCATCCGATGCTGCCAAGAACCGCAAAGAAAAATTCCCTTTGAAGGAATGTAAGCCTTCCTAAAACCTAGACAGATTGCCTTTCAATAAATATTCGTCGGTTACGGGTTCTGACCTTCTGAAACCCAATTAGCTGACAGAATTAAAACACTCTCGTTAGACGACGGCAAATTTTTCGTGGGTAGATTTGTCAAAATTGTCATGGTGGATCAATGTATCGCATGCCATGAAATTATGCATCTCCGGAAGGGACATGGAAATAATATCGAACAGACTTTTCCTTGGTGGTGACTTCAACCCTTCTGGAGAGACCACTTACAAAATCTGTCTCAGTTCGCTGGACGGTTATGTGCGACTAGTACGAGTTATCCTAAGGTTTCTGGGTCTCATTTACTCGGAGTATACATTTCATACCAGTGAAACGAGGATTACGTTCCTGCGCGGGATAATGTGGTATCAAACTTTTTTTTAGGGTCGATTGCTCCTTCGCTCGGAATAAACCACGTAAATAATATTAGAGTGAGCGCTGATGGCACAACTGGTTCGTGCTGGAATTATTGAACAGATTAAACAAGAAATCTCTTATAGCTTCAAATCTGTTATTCAACCTTCGGTCGAGTCGCTGGTGTTTATCTTCGACGACAACCGTTGCCACTAATCGCAGCGTGTAACACTTGTGTCACCAGGAATGAGTCGAACGAAGGACGAGGGCAAAGCCTGGGTCGAGGGCAAGTCTGCAAAGGTCCTCGAGGGCTTTTTCATCATCACAGTCGTCGGGGCATTCCAAGTCGCAGCCTGGCGAGGTATTTGGCAAGTAACGGACGAGTACGTTTTCCCGGAACATGACGGGGTTTCCGCATTCTTTTGTTTCGTCGTCGGACACGTCGCTATGCTGCCAGCCATAGTTTTTGCGCACCACTTGCAAGTGAGGAAACGCAACATCAATTTCGTTCCGAACCAACCCAGTACAGTATACAGTACAGAATGAAGACTTTTCAACCGTTGGGCCGAGGGCACATGTCATGGGGTCCGTGAGATTTTCCCAGGGTAGAGATAGTCCTTTCAGGGAATAACTAAAACGGTGCTTGGATGAGAGATTAGGAATAAGATGAATAAAGAGGCTTAAAATAATCCAGGAAAAGGACTGAGAACCCCCAGTATAAGCAGAAATCTGGCTTTGAAGTATATGTTGCAAATTTTGACTCGATTAAAAACGCATTAATTATTTTAAACATTTTCAGAACAATAGCTTATGATCAGGAGTTGGTGGTAAGCAAACCCTGTCACGTTTATAAATCGGTTGCTCACTGCTCAGACAATTCATAGAAAGGTTGAAAACCCTTGCAGTATAGCCTCGCTTATTTTGGCTGATGTCGGAAGCCTTTGCCCTGATGATCAGGAAAACTTGAACTATAACTAGCATTGTAAAATTGCCATCACGAATGACCTGACGTAATATTTCCGACATCAACTTTTTCTGAAGAAGTCATCAATATTGATTGTTTGCTTGCCAATTGAATTTGATCAAGTGAATATCTTTCAACTCAATAAGAGCATATGTGGTGAAATGCGTAGTGTGCATCAGTACAGTACATTGAAATACAGTACTGTATTGGCATCTGTAAAAATAACATTCAAGTCACAAAGAGAGAAGGAAGTCCCTCTATGCTATAAGTAATATTTTTTTTAAATTATCTTAATGGATGGGAAAATGATGGGAGAAATACTAAAAGAATTTTTCTTGCATAAAAAAATTCTTAGGGTTGGAAATATCTGTTTTTTGGAGTTCAGCCTGATAAAAGTCATTTTTACTGAAACTTATGGGCAATTTTATCATGCCATGTCCATATGTCGAGTCAGTGTCCACATTTGGGCCTTTTTTATGCCTTTTTTATTGAAAAATAAATTTCCCTATGTCGAATTGTCCACATGTTGAGGTGACCACATGTGGAGGTCTCACGTAAACCTACGTTCATTCTCCTAAGAGGGATCATCCATGTAACATGCAATTTTTTATATTTATCTTTTAAATGGTGGAGGTTCTGGCTGATTCGAGTGTGGAAAAACAAAGTTTACTTGACCTGGATGACATGTGTTCCACAGGATGGCCTCGGAGGAGGCACCAGCACAGGATTGTTCGTGGTGATCTCGCGTTTGTACACGGCGGTCTGCTCCGTTCTGGCCGTGTGGCAGTGGCGTGGCACGTGGCACCTTCTCAACTACTACATCGGCACTTCATGGGAAGGATTCGCGTCCACAGGCGGGGTATCTTTAGTTGCCATGATATTGTTGCAAATCATGGTGACGATCCCGTGTCCACCGTACGGACTGGAAATTGACTTCCGGGAAACTTACTTCAGCAATGCGGACATATCTTTCTTCGGCATCGAGGTTGGAGCTTGTCAATGCTGCACATTCAAAACTTTCTTCCGCGAAAATCTCTTTTATTTGAATGTATAACGAAACTACTTATTAGACGCATCTATACTTTTTTTCGTTAGATTAAAGACAAGTTTGCGCGTGAATCTAAGATTCACTCTCGTAACACTTGATTATTCTTTTTTTTTCTCATCAGCGTACTCCGATGATGTTACTATTGCAATAGAAACCTAATACCCAGACTTGGCCATCAACGGGACTTTGGATTCTAACTTCTGTGTATAAGACTTTGAAAAGTCTGAAATATTTGCGTAATTGGAAGTTGGACCATTTTTACTCATGTACTGTAATAGCGTTGCTCAGAAGCAATTATTGTTATTATCAACGTAAAGCAAGACTCCGTCGAATATAAAACTCTTTCAAAAGTAAGACATGGATGGATACAAGAAGCTGTCGATTATTTTTGGATCATTTTTTCAGGAAAATGCGTCTTACGCACGAATAAATGTGGTATTTATACGCTTCGATTCCTTTCCTCTCGCAGTGGAAAGGAGAGCTCCATGCAAAATACGTCGTCGATCGCATCTTTGCTGTTTTCATCACTTTCCAGCCAGCCATTGTTTTTTGGCGAGCCATTTGGGGGCTGCAAGATTTATTCTTCTTCCCGGAAAACTTGGTGCACAATTTCCTTGCCTCTTTGGTGAGTAAGACCTGCCAGCACGGTAGTGTGAGTAAGCATGTTCAAGTCCATTTCAAAAATTTCGAAGAAGGGTAGTCTGTTTCTCATCTGGAATCAAAATCGACAGAAAAAAAGTTGAACCTCTATAATAAGTGTTTCGATCGACCAAAACATTTTAAAATCAGCCGATTTTCAAACTGGGACTGAACCTAGCAAATGTTGCTACCGCAGGATGAAAGTACGCATTTACTCGAGTACCAGTTGCACCTTTTTCTCAAATTCGGGGGTGCGCGTCATATGCGGGTAACAATAAAAAAAAATACTTATTAGAAATTTCGTTGTGCATTATACTTGCTTCTGAAAGGAAATTTCGGACAAAGTTCAACAGAAAAAAGTACGGGAACAATTGAAAAATGGTCGAAAAAATGTCAATGCATGTCTGAATTCAAATTTGGGCCTTCTTTTCTTTAAAATATTGTGATTTTAGAGTCACTCAAAATGGGGTAGGCGTCTTACTCGGGGATAGAATTTTGCCATAATTCCTGACTGAAAACCCCCGGTACGCGTCTTACTCGAGTAAATATGTGAATTTGAGTGCAGTATTAAAAATTCATGTATTTCTAACGAAATTTCGTCAATCAGAAAAAAGGAAGCGTTATTCCTTTGCATTCTAATATCTGTGGCATAATCTTCTTGAATGGGCTGTAAGGCGTTTTTGAAGGGAAATTGTGTACCATCGCATGTGTAATAATGTACATGCATAATCAGCAAACGTTCCATGAAATGAAGTTCCTGCGAAATTTTAAAAATTAAATGTGAAGCAGGGTTGTTTCTTTGGCTATGATCCCGTGAAAACATGGAACAGAGCATGGCATCTCAGGTGGCTATAATATACTTACTCAGGACGAGAAATTCGCACTGTGAAGCCCATGCTAAAAATGTCTTGAAAACACATCGCACTTCTCAATGTAATCCTGAAAAAAATTGCATGCATGATTTAATTTGGCAGCTTGAACTTGAGTCATTTTTCCATTAGGCTTGATATCTTTTTTTATAATCAAATAAAGGCATCCTGCCGTGAACTCGGATCACGAAGGTTTCACTGTTCATTCTCGTTGTGGTCGTTTTTTTGCGTGAACCCTGGACGTCGATTGATCAAGCGTTCAATTTCGAAAAATTCAGGTCCTCGGAGTGGTGGTAACTGCTGTGGCCTTCGTGACGAGGACCTGGATTCGTCGGCTGACAAGAGAACGCAAAGGAATCAGCAGACTCGTTATCGAATATCCATACGTGTTATTCTGTGCATTTGGATGCATCAGTCTGTGGCGAGGGATATGGGAAATGTTCGACATATGTTTGATACCAGGTACAGTGTAATGACATCCGACTCCGATATTGAACGCGAGAAGCAATACTTCCGTCTTGGCATTGACAAATATTCGTTCTTCGCAGATGATTACTCTCTGAGTAATAAGATAACGGCTGTCGTCGGACTCATCGGAATGATGGCCATGTATATTGGGAACACTATTGCGTGTCGTGGACTGACCAGAGATGGCAAAGGAACAAATGGGCATGACTATCACCGGGATTATTTTGAGGAGATCTGGAGAATGATTAAGACCTGAAGGTGCTATTTTAAGGTATATTTGTAACTCTCTGTGCTTTCATAGTGGAAATGCATCAGCTGGATGTGGATTCTTTTAATTTCAGCAAGAAAAGTGAAAAAATGGCGTCAGTGTTATTGATTACTCGAATTACGAGTCCAACGCGTCTTTTTCTCGTATTTTGAATATTTCTAAACGAACAGCATTTGAGCACGTTCAAATGATTCAGCATAGTAGAAACCATAATAGAAAAGTGAAAAATGGTGTCAGTGTTATTGATTATGATTACTCGAATAGCGAGTCCAACTCGTCTTTTTCTTGTATTTTGAATAGTTCTCAGCGAACAGTATTTGAGCATGTTCAAATAATTCAGCATGGCAGACATAATAATTAGGCCAAGAGATATGAAGCGAATTTTACCTCAAGACGTTTTTTTTTTTTTCAATCTACGAAGGGAAAACCCCGCTGCTTGTTAAAAAACGAATTCGATTGTCCTCAATTTCGAGCTGGTCGTGCTCATTGAAATTGAAGGAAAATGCTGGTGTGTTTGAAAGGTTCATTAGCTGGAGTGTAAGTAATGGCCTTTCGCCTGGGGAATCACGAACCCGTGGAAATCCCGGTTTGTGAATGAGTGGGCAATATAATAACTAGCATCGGATTTGATTTTTCGTCGAAACAGCTGACATCTATGTAACATCCTTTTGACTTGGATAATACGTCAAATCTGTTAAAACTGATTTTATGTAGGTGTCGCTCATCTGAAAGTAAATCGGATCTCATTCAGCATACTGTAGGTGAAATGTCGTCGATGTGATGGTCCCGACTCTTTTGGCCGACGGAGCCTAATAGGCTTTGAATTTTTATTAACTGACAGTCAGTTCTTAATTGGCCTTCTGTCCATGCACCCAACTTTTCTGTTCTATTCCACACTGCAGACTGCACCCACGTCGATGAATATGACGTTTGTTGTTTCTCATGACAGTTTTCTTCATTTTTAATTTCATTTAGTAATTCGGAAAAGCAGCAGGGCTCCCTAGAATTTTGTAGAAAATCAATTGAGAATCTCTGTTATCAAGTTCTGCATAAATGATACTTTGTTTTACTTCTTGCGATGGGATTGGCGTCTTGCTCGAATTGCATGCACGAAATATGTGAACGCGCCAAGTTCTATGAACGAAAGTATACTGCACCTCATCAACCAAGAAGAGTTCTTGTGTTTTATTCGAATGCATTTCCTGAAAAACTTCGTAATTTCTGGCAATTGCTGCATCAAATGCTCTCGAGTATATACTCGTGATTGCATAATATTGCAGACACGGGTTGATTGAATGTTGTTAGTTTACTCTGAACAGCTTCACTGCGGATCTTTATGACAGGTAAACGGATCAATTGCCTCGTACGAATTCATTTTCGCCATTCAAAAAATAGCATAAAAATCTTTAAAGCTGACAATTTCAAGTTCCATGCGACTTATTTCACGCACACCAATAAATAAGTGCCTCATCTTCAACTCTCCAATCCTGCAACGGTTTCACAAAACCTACAAAAAGTATATACAGGGCAAGTTTGTTTTCCGAACTTGAGAGAGGTAAGGAAAGTTATTTTCCGACAAATTGTACTTTTCCCAAAAATGCTGGCATCATGGGAAGTGTTCAAGTTTGACCTTGCATACGAGGGCATGAAATTATCCAACGACAGTATCCAACATAATGAGTAGTTGCGCTTCGCATGTAAAGTCTTCATTCAAAAAGTGCCGCGATAAAATGCTCAAAATGTTCAAACCGCGGTAGTTTCTCTGCCAGGAAGTTTATCCGGTGTTTGTGGGAGGACTTGCGAAATATTGAGAAATCCGCGATCCTGATACCGGGATCGACGCGAACAGGAAATACGGAAACATCGCTGGTCATAAAAATATTAAAAAAACGCTTTACGATGCAATCTAAATTATAAAACTGTATATACCGTATATCAAACGCTTCGCACTTCGGTGCCCACTTTTTTTCCGGATTGCCGAAACTTGCATCTTGGCGCCGAGGGGACCGAGCGTTGAACACGCTCTATCTCAATGCTAGCGTGGATTCGGAACAGTGCACTTGGCGGGGCTCGGACAAGAACATCGTTGGAGCCTCGGCCTCTTTTTTTTATACAGTGGCACATGTTGTTTCAGTTCAATCTTTCAGTTCAATGTGAAAGTGATTAGTTTTTCCGTTTTGCATAAAGTATTCACCAATAATCCTCCGGTTAGCGTTAGATCAACAATATACGCAACCAATGCCCCGTTGTCTCACACGAACCTCGGCTGGGTTTCGAAGATTTGTCTCCAGCTGTATTTTTCTTGTTTTTAACGGTGTAGAGCTTGCAGGTCGGAATTTCCAGCGGAACATCAAGAAACATAGTAGGTTGGAAAATGTTAGGTCGGAACGAGAGGCAAAATTTTAGACTGGATGAAACAATTGTGTTGCATACAGTTGTTTAGTTTCAGTTAAACTCGAACTAAACAACTCTTGCAAGCCTTGGGCTAGTTTTACTATTCCGATTCACGCATAATTTCAGTTGAAACTTATTGAGGGTGCAACTGTAAGGGGTAATTTTAAATATTTTTATGAATCATTCATCTATAATTCAGTTAAACTTGACAGAAGTTCCCTCCTGGATAATTAGTTTTTCTTTCTGGTCGTTGCTGTGCAGCTGATCGGATTTGCGGAGCCGATTTTTGAAATATGAAGTGTAAATTCTATGGTTTACGAAAAAAAATCTAAGGGGAAAGAAAAAACGTTTGATTCGAACTCCGGGTAAACTTGTTCGAAACGTCATCATTTCATTTTTTTTTGTCTTCTGCCACATGCTTCATCAGTTGAAACTTTCGAAAGGGAAAGTGTTCTGTTTCAATTCAAAAAATAAACGTAAGGATCAAGATCAATGGGGGGGGGGGTTCATTAATTTTACCAGGAGATATCCCGAGCTAGAAATTTCGTGTACTATATTTGAGAGATGCTGTGCAAATCATTTTCAAAGTCCTTAAAAATACTTGTCTCATGAAAGCAGCGCGTGGTAGAATTGGAAAAATGAAAAATAAAGTCAAATCGACTCTTTTGTTTAATTTTTCCAGGCGTTTTTCAAAATCATGGTCCAGAACTATTGAAATGTATAAAAACGACCGTTTATGCATCCGACTAATCGTGCATGTACTTTCTTAAAACTTCTTGTGTTAGAAAAGATGAAGAAGGGCGAATCGTTCATTTATTTTTTTTAGGATAACATTTTCGCATATCTGTTGACGGGAGCATTACTCATTCTTTTTATGTGACGGGTATTATGAAAACAATTAACACATAATCTGGACTGGTTCAGGTCTCAGGGCCCAGGGTTTTATGAGAAGATAGTCATCGGGAAATCGATTGTGGGGTGCGGACGCGGAGTCGCGCCTGTCGCTTTTTAAGTCAGCTCTATTAATGCATATAATTAAATTTTCGTCGCGAACGTCTTTGGCGTGGTACTTCGCGAAACGGGCTGAGGAGCACCACCCATTGGGAAAGTATAACCCAGAGCCAGAGAATTAAGGACGGAAATCGCTGTTTAATTGCAAAGACTTTACGGACTTCATGGTGCCGTGCCTGCGATGATTCACGACGGAAGAACAAGTGAAACCTGGGGCAATTTTCTCGCCCGTTGTTGCTGCAATAACTCACTCGCCTTCCCTGCCTGTGTTTACTTTCATGCTGCGAGATACGAATAAACAAAAGCGAAACGATGACAGTTCCATTTGCGATTTCAAGAAAAATCTACGAGGGCTGGTCTAAGAGTTTTTTTCAGTTTTCCGCTTCTCTTGCTACCAGCAAGATTGTTGGAATCGATTGGGATATATGGAGAGATAAAACTTGGTGTAATGCCGAACCATTCCCGAAATCCCCATCTAATTAGCAAGAGGAGACAGAATAAAATTGAAATCACACGCAATTACTGTAATCGGATGAAGTTCCTTTTTATTCTCGCTTACATGTTCCATGAGTCCACAAGCCTGAAAAGGGCATTATTTGAAATCAGTGAAAAATATTTTCAATGAAACTTTTCAAGAGATGAGAATGAAGAAATTCAAGCGGCAAAGTTCACCGATTTTTTCATTTTGTGTTGGCGGCCTTGAATGTGATGGCTGTCTAACATTTTAAATTGATCAGCAGAAAATTCTCCGAGCCAGAACAATACAACTGCAGGAAAGTTCGGAATTTGAAACTTGAGCACCCAAGGATGTTCATGTCAGAGTTGTGACAGAACTTGTTAACCATCCCTGGTTTCTTGCCACGCCCTTAGAGGCGTGATTCTCTCAAACTCTGGATTTCATTTCGCACCTTTTCGACGCTGCCAACGTTTTTTTTTTTCGACTGTCCATGGGAAATTTTGAGGAAAATTGCGAGGCGTCTGCGAAGCGCGAAGAAACGCCATGACCCGCGGAGAACTCTCATGCAAGATTCCAGTTAATCACTTCTCTGAGATTCCTTGAGTTACCGCGATTATGCCAGTTTATTCGGGGGTGTCGAGAGTGGACGTCTGGCGACTCTGTGGAGGTCGTCGAACTTCTGTGTTGGTCCGAGAAAGTTCGTCCGTCGCGTTCGTGGCAACCATCAGCCAAGCTTGCGCCCATTCAGTAGAATTGCCTTGACCCTTACTGCTTACGTGATCTCGGAGACACATTTGCTCTCCAGATAAAATGTCAGACGCACATTCAGACAAAAGCCGGTCAGAGAAAAGCGCTGTCGATACATCGAACTTCATCAGAGTTTGGTCCCGGATAAAAGCGTGGAAGGACATCTGTAGGTGTCGCTAAACGAAAAGGTTACAGCTTCCGGCAGTCCCTTATATTTTCCTCTTCATCCTTCCTTCGCCCAGCGATGAAGCTTATTTTCTAACAAACTACCGATATAAAAAAATCCACAGACTACACAGACTAAAACTTGCATGAGACACTGAAGTGATATTTTGTTTTGTTTTTATTTCCGCAAGCGCATGTTTTGATCATACTGCTTATTTTCTTATTGAGGCCGTTTTCTTTTCATTTTTGCGTTCGAGAAGCAAGCTAAATTCTGTGACTCAGTTTAATGTTTATTAAAACGAGAAATAGCTTCAATTTCATCCGAGTCAAAGGAGGGACTCGCTGTAAAATTCTGCGGTCTTTGCACTTGAACTCGCGTGAGTCCACTATAAGCATTTTTTAATGGAAATCTCTGGGGGCAAATGCTTTTTTCTGGATACATAGCTGATGGAAACGAATTATTGTATGCCAAAATGAGTCTCGAAATTCTTCCGATTCCATGCATGAAGTCCTGAGAACGTGCGGTTACATTGCTTGCATGAATACAAAAACATATACACATACTTCAGAGAGGAGGAAATCATGCCCAAAACCAAGGAATATATTCCATCAGCCAATAAAGAGAAAACACAGACGGTCATTATCCTGGTGTCTTTTCAACGTGAAATATTGAACTCGCTCAAATTCGACGTCAAAAAATAATTTTTCAATCATACTCAGTAATTAAGTTTCATGTGAAACCTGGTACAGGTATACAATGCAGCAGTTTTATCGAAAGGCTCGCTTAAACAGAGAGGCTTTTCATATGTTTCCTCAAAAATAAATGTTGGGATGGCCAAGGGCCTGAATTCTATTTTCCCGCCGCTAGCCAACAATTTTTAAGAACCTCACGGACATACGAGGCATTCGTTCGAGCGATGAGGTGCTACTATAGCAAACATATTTGCAGTCCTGTGATAAGTCTTGATCAGAGGGAATGGTTGTCCATTTTCACAATGACGCGTGCATTTCTCGTCCAGGGGATATGACCAGACGACAATGTATCCTCGCTCCAAGATGCAATACATTAAGGAGTTTCTAAATTTCCAGAAAAATCTTACGACAGTCATGCGACTTCATCCAAAAAAAGTTCCCGTTTTTCAGTAGAAGAAAAGATAAGTTTCAAAAATTACCCGAGCGTCAGCGAAGGTTGCGATGCATCAAAGCAAAAACTTGAAATTTCCGTCAACCTTGGCGTCGAAAAGTTTCCTCATCTGGAAATAAAAGCTCGGTGGATGCAACTCACTTTCTAAATGAGCTTTCGCCCATTCATTGCAACAAAGTTTATTCGCCCTGTGGTTGCGGACCGAAGCGGGCGCACGTGAAGGACACGAAAGCTGCAAAAAACTGAGATTCGTGGC